GAAGTGAGATCAAGTCATGGAGGTTGGGTCCATGGAGTGGTATTAGCCAGGGGGTAGGAGTGGTGTCTCTGCCCAAGGTTTGTGGAAGGCTGGAGAGGGATGGCACAAGACAAATGGCTTGGTCACTGTCTTCGGTCCATCCCCTCCAGGGTCGCTAGGGTTGGCCGCTGTCGGCACAAAGGCTACTGGGCTAGATGGACCTTTGGTCTGACCCAGGACGGCCATTGTAAGCTCAGGGCTCAGGGTCGGGGGTCTCAGTGGACCCCCTTGATTTTCATGCACACCTGCTCCTGGGTGGCCAGGCTGGCAGCTCTCCTGCCCTAGCTGGCCACTTTCCTGTGACCTAGTGCGGAGGTCGCGGACGAGGTCCACGATGTCCGCACTAGCCCAGGTGGGTGCTGGGTGCTGGCAGGCTTGCACCTGGCACAGGCACCGTAGCCAGCCTTTGCCCCTTTAAGGGGTCTGGGGCCGGGAAGGGGGCAGACGAGTTTTCCTGGTGTTGGCTAGAGTGGCCACCAGGGAAACCTGGGGAGGGCTAGCCTCCCACTAGTTCGAATTAAGGGTCTACACAGCCCTTAATTCAAACAAGTAATTTCGAACTAGGCTTAATCCTCGTGGAATGAGGATTACCTAGTTCGAACTAAGCGCTCCGTTAGTTCGAATTAAATTCGAACTAACGGAGCGCTAGTGTAGCGCCTATGAAAGTTAGTTCGAACTAACGTCCATTAGTTCGAACTAACTTTGTAGTGTAGACATACCCTCCCAGAGGAGAAAATCAAAGCAAGTCATAGTTCTGTTATGGACTGAATTAGGGAGGACAGGGAAAGTTTAGCTTGAGGAGTTTGAAGGGTCCCATGCAGTTTCACTCTGATTTTGTGGTTATGTGACAGAGCTCAGTAGAAAGAATGGATCAGTGAGGTACAGATTTGCTGTGACAGAAGATGAATATCCTTTGTCCTGGAGGTGCTTATTCTGGAACCCAGTCATTGCACTTCAAGGGCCATCTTAAAATGCCCGAGAAGATACACAATGATATCATGCATTTGGGAAGAGGGGCATTCGTTATGAAACTTGGGGTAGTGGGTAGGAAGAGAAGAGAAAATATAGAGTGAGGTAGTCTTAGTTCCATTGTGGTTTTGTTCATTATCTCTGAGGAAGGCAGGGTATCAGACTAAAATTTATTTATTTATTTCATTCTGACTAATGAGGCCACTGTTTAATTAGTGATTAAAGTGATGCTGAAGTCCCCAAGTTTGCATATCTAATCAAGTTGTGGTTGGATGACACTGCAGCCAACCTAAAATGTAGGTTGGTCTCCTGTTCCCAAGCTAGCTCAAACAGAGCACATTTATTTGAAATGCATCTTGGAAACTTATTCTTGCATGTAGAATATTTCCCTTCCCCTCTTCTTGCTCCCATGAAAGCAGAGCACCTCCATTCTAGTACTATAGGTACTTGAGTACGTCTGTTCCATGTCCTATTTGGCCAATGCCGAGAGAATATTACCCAAGGCAAGCCAATAAAATAAAAAGTCCTTAGCTATATGTTGGGTTGAAGACAATATATATGAATACACTATTTTTACTGGTACAGATAAATCAATATTAAAATTACCATCCACATCATCCCCTAAATCTGATTCCTTCACGTGTAGAACAGTCACTTCTGCCAGCTATGATTCTTGAAAAACAAAACAAAACAAAACATCTAATCCTTGTAATCTTTTGCTGAGCTGGTTGTTAGGATGACTATGGGAAGAATGAGTTGATTCTCCCTATTCTATAATCTGAATCAAAAGAGTCTAAGCCCACAAAGATAAATCAAAATCAGGGAGAAAATGGTCCACTAAAAAAGCAGATAGCTTAACAATACTCCTCCCCCACTGAAAACATCAACATAAAACCAACTTTTGCTGGCATTTGTACTTGACTCTGGCTGGATTTCACCAGGGTAAAAAATAATGCCACAGTGTTGGTGTGAAAAGCATCATAATGTTTTAAAAGGACACTGATGTTTCCAGGTGCATTTATATTAAGTGAGGCATATCTACAGCATTCCCAACAACAAAAAGGTATTTAAGGTAAAATGGGAAAACCTCATATTGTCTTCATTGTAATCCAAAACAAGGCTAAAGTCTTTGATCTAACATTTTGGTATCCCTTTGGCCACTGCACCAGCTATAGCCTCCATCTGCTACCTGAAGAACTGCACTTGCTCCCTCAGGGCTCACTGTACATTCAGAACCAGACTCTACCCCAAGTACAATACGAGTAAATGGGCATGGTGCAGTGAAAGTTAGAGATCACTGTCTGGTTCTTCCCAGCCCCGCTTCAGGCAACTAGTACCTCAGTAGACGCTAGCAAGGAATGATCCCTACTCTGTGGAAAGGGCTGGAGCTGAAATTTGACCTACATCATTCTGTCTCCATGCAATCCACACTCTGGGCCTTTGCAGCCTTAAACAACTCTTCCAAATGGAGATCAGATTCTGCATCTCTGTCACTGCCTGCTTGAATCCCCAAGAACCACAAAGGTTTCCTCAAATCAAGTCCCTCCTGATACAAAGTGCACAAACATTATTACTGGCAATTTTATCTTTTGCTGGTTTTCCTCTGGATAGAGTTCTGGAACTCATCACTAGTATCGCAGTGATTAATATGTGCTTGACTCAAAGCTCATTAAGTAACAGAAAAGCCCCCATTGATGTCAGTGGACTTTGGATCATGCAATATGAGAATTTCGGAAGAACCCAGTTTACTGTTGAACAGACATATTGAAAAATCTTAAATTTAAACACGCTCGTTGATCGCCCAATGGTGAAAAATAGTCAATCCCTAAACCATTGGTATTTAAATTGTTAGTTTGTATATCCCAAACCAAATCCAAACCTGGTATAAATGGGTACAACTCAAACATAATTTGCATTTGTACAGATCAAACCCGAATTTGACTTTTTGAATTTCCTCCTCATTTTTTCACTTTGGATAATCATGTGCTAAATTTCAGTGACTCTTCAATTGATTTAAATCAGTTCAATAAGTTTCCACTTCTGACACTTTTAACTATAAAGGAAATCACTTACCCATGAATATGGAAGATCCACATCAGTGACGGAGCAAGTAAGATGTGGATGATGAGAACAAGTACAATTTTCCCACTTTTCTACTTTTGAGATCACAAAATCACATGGACAGAGCTGATTATTGGGAAAAGGCTTCCAGTCACTCCATAGCTGAAATTCAGTTTCTGAATGGATGGAAATATTTCCTATATTGCTCAGTCTAGAAGTATAAGATCTACCCAATGAAGCTGAAATAAAATTTGCTCTAGTCTCAGTTTCTTCCTTTCGCCTAGCATTGTCTTTCCAGAGCTTCTTTTCCTGGGACTTTGTTAGTTTCATGCAGGAAATCAGTGCTTCCTCGTCTTCTTCAGAGAGACAGGAGGCGTCAGGTGATGGATCTTTAAAAATTTAAAAGATTTGCTTTTTATGTGTTGCATTTGCAATCAGACCATTTGCTACCATTTGAAATATTGCCCAATGAGACATATATACTGAAATCAATCAAAAACTCCATAAACTCAAATAATAATGGCAATTAAAGAGATGGAAAAGACCTAATAATAGGTCAATGACTCTACTCTCTAGACAAAGCAGGTTTTTTCAAACTTTCCATTTGAAAAAAGAATCTTGCAGCTCACTCAGAAGCCTGGAGAATTTTGCTGGCTCCACAGAGCATTACAATGGTAATTTTTGCATTGAATATGGGGACTTCATTAATCAAACATCATGATGCAATAGTCACATAATGTGTGAGTTTGGCTTAGGGGACTAATTGACAGAAACCAGAGTATTTTCCTGAATAATTCACCTACTCCTAGTCCATGCATGGATATCTCAAAGTAGCTGCCGAATCCTGAATTTCCTTACTGATCCGACTGAAACACCAGTTCATTAAATGGTCTCAATTCATTTTTCTGGGATTAGTTTAAAAATATCCATAAAGGCACCATATATCTACACTACTGTTTGCACTCTGAGAACTAATGCTAGGAAAACAAGTTCAGACAAAGAATGGCTACACAATTGGATCAGGGATCTGATGAAAGCAGTTGAAAGCACTTGGGTTCACCATGGGTATGTCTACACTACCAACCTAGTTCGAACTAGGGTGGTAATGTAGTCAACCGGAGTGGCAAATGAAGCCCGGGATTTGAATTTCCCGGGCTTCATTTGCATGTTGCCGGGCGCCGCCATTTTTAAATGTCCGCTAGTTCAGACTCCGCGCCCTGCGGCTACACGCGGCACGAACTAGGTAGTTCCACGAGGAGTAACGGTAGTTTGGAATAGGAATCCTAGTCCAAACTACCTAGTTCGTGCCGCGGGTAGCCGCGGGGCACGGAGTCCGAACTAGCGGACATTTAAAAATGGCGGCGCCCGGCAACATGCAAATGAAGACCAGGAAATTCAAATCCTGGGCTTCATTTGCAACTCCAGTTGACTACATTACCACCCTAGTTCGAACTAAGGTGGTGGTGTAGACATACCCCATCAGCTTTAGAATGCCTGCTTGGCATCAGCTTTGGGATAATCCAAGCAACCTGATATGAGACAACAAGAACCTGCTCCCTTGTGCAGCAGATTGCTGTTTTTTCTAGCACCTCCCACTGCCATTGACTTCTAGATGGATAAAAGTCATCTTCTCTTCTGTGCATTTTGCCATCCTCATGTAAAATGTAAGCTAAAGCTGGGAAACTTCATTAAAGAAACACAATGGCTCAAAGATAAAAGTCTGGATATTCTACTCAGCTGTTTAGGATATTCCCCTTCCACTCCAATACACATACATCCTACCCATCAATTGCAAGAACAGTATTTATTATTACATATAAACTGATGCAATGGGAAATAATTTTCACATATCACCTTTGTTGTATCATTGCATTGCAGTGACATTTGGTGTGGCATCTAAGATGTGGCACAGACCATCTAGACTTTGAATGACAGCTCAGCTCAGATAAGAGCAAGCTCAATTATACCTTTGTTCAGTAAAGTGACATTTTCCAAATGTGTGCAAGTACACCAAAATGGCTCTTTACTTACTGAGAGGTATCAAAACATGTTTGACGTCATCCAAACTATGTATACTGGCTTTCTTGGTTCTGACCAATTTCTGCAATCGTTTTAATGTTCCCATTGATTCAGCTTTATTGTCGTCTGATTCTGTAACCTAATTGAAAAAAAAATAAAATGAGAATAAACAATAAAAAAAACTTTAGAATGTTTATTTTGAGAAGCAAGGAAGTTCAGCATCATAGCCAAGCATTTTGGAACAGTGATCAAGATGAGAAATAACCATGTCTGTAATGGCTTTGGAAGATGAGTCTTGAGTGGCAGTTTTGAGGTGATGAAAGTGAGGACAAGAGGGCAAGACGATAAAAAACTTCACAGCAAAGCCAGGAGACCCATCAGCCCTCAATCTATATGCTTGCTGCTCACCTTCAGGTTTTCCAAATATCAGAACCCTTAAATTATATAGATAGGATGATACCAAAAGGTATGGAAATGTGCACAAAACTAACTAATATCACCAGGCAAAAGAGATATTTCTCTAAACAGCTGCCTTTCTTTTCTTCCTATCTTAAATTCAAATAATCCATACAATAAGATTTTTACTGGGTATTTTCCATCACCACAAAACTATCACAATACCCTAATGTATATGAACAATCCTCCAGAATTATTCCGGAAAATCAGCCGCTTTTCCAGAATAAGCTGCGAGCTGTCTACACTGGCCCTTGAATTTCCAGAAAAGCAACGACGTTCTACTGTACAAAATCAGCCGCTATTCCGGAAAAGCTATGCTGCTCCCACTCGGGCATAAGTCCTTATTCCAGAACACTGTTCTGGAAAAGGGCCAGTGTAGACAGCCCAGTAGTCTTTTCCGGAAAAGCGCGTCTACATTGGCCACAGATGCTTTTCCGGAAAAAGGGCTTTTCTGGAAAAGCAGCCTACCAATGTAGACGCTCTTTTTCCAGAAATACTTATAACGAAAACTATTCTGTTTTAAGCATTTCCGGAAATTCATGCCAGTGTAGACACAGCCCTGGAGTTTGGATTCCAAAGGTTTCTATTATTAAGTAATATCGTGTGTGAAACTACTAGAAAGTTTGGATTGAAACTGTATTTATTATATAATAAATAGCCATATGTAAGATGTAGCCATATCATCGCACATAGAGCCAGGAACTCATAAGTTTTATTCTCAGCTGCAACACTAACTTTCTCCTTGGAGTTGAGTGCAGAAATTCTCCATTTCAGTAGCAAGCAAGCTGTTTCCCATGTCAAATGGCACTTGTAGTAATGCCTTCCAGAGGAAACAAACAAACATGAGTAAAAGGAGTAAAACTGCAAATGGTTGTTTTTTACAATGGTAGATTTTTGACACATTGCTAATTATGATCTTCTAATTAAATGCCTGTTCTCTGTTGGTGCAAATGGATCTAGCTCTATTGACTTCAGTGGAATGTCTCCAATTTACACCAGCAGAAAATGTAGTCTAGTATGTCAAAATCTCTTCTGCAATATTCCACATGATTAATTGCCAATGCTAGCATTAGCAGCAAGTAATTCACGGACCTTATTGCACTCTCCCCTCCAATTAAGTCAAACATCAAGGTTCTTTCCCATTTCCTTATATGCATAATTCTCCACACCAAGACAAAGACAGAAGAAGAGGTCTGCAACATTTCTGCCAACACAAACTAATTAATGCACACTGGTAGATTACTTAAGGATTGAGTTTGAGAGTTTTGACACTCCTCGGCTCTGACTTTGGTGCTGAGAATGTAGGATGAGGCACTTTCAGAGTACTAGCATTCAGGCAGTACAAAGTAGCATCCAACAATAGCTATCATAAAAGAGGCATAAGAAACACTCATTTTATATTTCACAAATAATGTTCCATAGATCAACCTAACAATGCTTGTCAAAAGAGATTTCCACACTTCACATGCCAGCAGTTCAGACACTGGTGTGTTGAGCTTTGAAAGTGCTCCAAGCAGGAAAAAAGGACATTCACTAAATGTACAGTGGAAAGGCAAGTGGTTTATTTAAGGAAGGATGGTGACTTTGTTTCATTGTCTTGTGGAACAAGAGTGGACAATGGCAAACTCACAAAGTGCTAAATCCCAAGCTAGTGGAAAATGGAGTTATAATCAAAGTTGATTTGCAACCTAAATTATAGCTCTTGTAATATACAAGTTGTGTGGAGTTTATAAGAAATGGACGGAACTAAAGAACTGAACAAAAGGAAGAAAATACTACAAACTAAATAGGCTCTTGAAATAGGATAGTAGAAATTGTGTTGACCCAAGCATAACTCAGCAAAATAAAGGATTTTACATATCTAAGAACATTTAATCTGTACACTGCCTGAAAGATTAAAAGCATTTCAATATTTGTACATGCTATACAATTTAGGCATTAGAAGCCAGCTCCTTTGACTTTAGTAGCACTCACCTGGCTTATGCCAGCTGTGAACCCACCCCCCAGGAGCCTTCCATGAGAAATACATAAAGTCCTACCCCTTGTACCTGAGTCTTTGGCTGAATCCGAACACCCACACGTGAGCCAGATTTCAAAACCCCTCATTCAGACATGTTCAAATTTAGGTTCTGGTTCTCCACAGTGCAGAGATATGGGATTTAATTGTCCATTGTGAATTTAATTTGCAAAGTGCCAAAGGGAGTGCAGATATTAACACTGGTGTATAAGTGGAGATCTCTGATAAGCACCCACTTTGCACAGTGTCAGTGACTACACAAGGGCACTGAAGAATCAGGCCCATGACTTTTTGATCTAGGGTTCTGATCTAGGATTTATGTTTATGGAACATCAAAATAAAATGGCACATAATCTACTCAGATAATTTTACTAATGGACAAAGTGTAATCCTCTGTTTTTGTAAGCACTTTGTGGGATGTGTCTAGTGTTAGTTAAAAGTAATAATAAACAAAATAGCTATCTTATGTGGGCACAGATAACTTTATAATATCTATGAATGATGGGGGAGCTTTTAGAAGATGGGGAGTTTTGCTTTGACTAAATATCCAAATCCAAAATGTTTGGCTGCTTAGCCTAACTAGCTGAATTGTCTTAGTCTAAAAAATAACACTGAAGGTGAGTCCCCATTGCATTACTAGTCTGAACCTTGGCACCATTCAAACTGCAATCCATCCAGCAGTGAAAGTAACTTAACATTTCTTATAGATACTGTCCTATTGCAAACTATTTAAATAGCTCCCTACTGCCTTTTGCCACAGCTCAGCCAGCTCTTCCTGGATCTGCGCACCCGGGTGCACCTGCTTACTTCCACCTCCCTGATAGACCAGCTAGTTTTGTTACTCTTGTTAGAGATTATTGTTTTACTCAGGTGTTGGGTGAGAGGTAACATTACACCTTGAGTTAACTATATTGCCAAAACCCTGAATCTCTTTAGAGCTGGATTTCTAGTGCTTACTTATTCCAGATGAGTGGAAAAGTATCACAAAATCAGCCATCTCATGGCTGATGTTTTATAATTTCATTGCAACCCTGAGCCATCCCAAAATTAAGATATGAAAAGAAAAGTTAAAATTTTGATGCCAGTATCAGTCAAAGATTCCACCTGGTACTTATATTACGTGAGAATCAGCATCCCAAGTAGTCTCAGCTCAGGATTATGAGACAAGAACTACTAGTTCTACTGGCTTTGATGATAATGCAGTCTGATCCCGAGGAAGTCTCTTTTCTGCATTTTCCCTGCCTAAAACTGGGAGCACTTGGTGAATATTGGAAAACGGTGTTCATAATTATAGGTTTGAATTCCAAACAGCTGCTCATTTCAACCATATTTGGGACTCCCTTTAGTCACCATTCCTGAATGTGCCTCTGAGTGAGTATTTGTTCACATAAACATCAGGGAATGGCTTTTTCTCCCCACCGCAAATACCTGAGGGTTTTTGCGCAAGAATCTTTTTGCGGAAGAGGTCTTCCGCAAAAACTTCTTTTGCAAGAGCACATCCACACTGCAAAAGCACATCGAAAAAGCAATGTGCTTTTGTGAAAGAGAGTGTCCAGACTGCATGGATGCTCTCTCGAAATCGCAAGCTCTGATTGCTATGCACAGAATGGCCACCAGGACATCTGTGCTTTTTCCTCTTTACTCTTTTTGTGCAAAAATCCCTCTTCTCCGTACACACATACCTTTTTGCGAAAGAGCTCTTTCGCAAAAAGTCATTCTTCCTCGTGGAATGAGGAATATCTACGCCAGGAAACTTCTCTGTTCTTTCAATTGTTTTGCACAAAAGTGCTCTTGAGGTGTGGATGCTCCACAAGTTTTTTTCAGAAAAACAGCTGTTTTTCAAAAAAAAACCCTCTGTAGTGTAGACATAGCCTGAGAGAAAGAGTCTTCATTTACCCATGCATATTCATTATTCTCCATGTAGCACTTTAAAGACTAACAAGGTGGTTTATTAGGTGATGAACTTTCGTGGGCCAGACCCATTACCTCAGATCAGATAGTGGAAGAAAATTGTCAGAACCATATATACCAAAGCATACAATTAAAAAAAATGAACACATATGAAAAGGACAAATCAAATTTCAGAACAGAAGGGGGATGGGGGGAAGAAGGTAAATGTCTGTGAGCTAATGATATTAGAGGTGATAATTGAGGAAGCTCTCTTTGTAATGGGTAAGATAATTAGGGTCTTTGTTAAGACCCCTGTGCAAAGTGTCAAATTTTAGCATGAATAACAGTTCAGAGGATTCTCTTTCAAGTGCAGTTTTAAAAGGCTTTTGAAGCAGGATGCAGGTAATTAAGTCGTCGAGACAATGTCCTATCTGGTTGAAATGGCAAGAAACTGTTTTTTCTTTGTGATCCTGTCTAATATCTGTTTTGTGGGCATTGATCCTTTGGCGAAGTATCTGAGACGTTTCTCCAATGTACATAGCAGACGGGCACTTTCGGCACATGATAGCATAAATTATATTTCTGGATGCAGAGGTGATAGCATAAATTATATTTCTGGATGCGCACAAAACATTATATTTCTTAAATTCGACACTTTACACTTGAGCCTAAATAAAGAATCTAATTATCTTACCCATTACAAAGATAGCTTCCCCAATTATCACCTCTAATATCATTAGCTCACAGACATTTACCTCCCCCCCATCCTCCTTCTGTTCTGAAATTTGATTTGTCCTTTTCATATGTGTTCATTTTTTTAAATTGTATCCTTTGGTATATATGGTTGTGACAATTTTCTTCCACTATCTGATCTGAGGAAGTGGGTCTGGCCCACGAAAGTTCATCACGTAATAAACCATCTTGTTAGTCTTTAAAGTGCTACATAGTCCTGTATTTTGTTTCAGCTACACCAGACTAACACGGCTACATTTCTATCATTATTCTCCAGTTTAACAACTTTTAGTCATGTGGAAATACTATGTCATTAAGGTGATCAAGTAACAAGTTTTTAATAGTCTAAATAAACAAACCACCTATTAGCTGCTTTTCACTGGCATACCCAGTTTGAACGCTAATGAATAACAAATTTCTAAACATTAAAAAATCTATTAATGAAAAACGTGTGAACTGAAAAAAAGGCTACATTTGGCCTGATAAATTATTCCCAATAAATACATTGGACAGCTGTACTCCCTGAGCTGTTATAAGGATTAATTTGATGAGCAGACAGCATTTTGAAATCAAAATGAACAGTGCTATCAGCCAGATCCAAACATCCTTACTCCCTTTTAGTAATACTTAATTTGAGGAGAACCTACACTGGTTTCAGTCATTTTACTTGTGAAGCATGGAATGTCTCAGCATAAATAAGCATAGCAGAAATGTGTGATCATTTTCTGAATTGGTTTACAGGTCCCAAAAACATTCAGCTACACAGCAATTACTGACTTTTCAAAAAAGCAAACTAAATATAGCAAGTAAATGAACCTGTCTTCCTGTCTGTAATGTTATTATGATCTTACTATGAGAAATACTTTTATATTCTTTCTTTGGAAAGTATTGGTAGTTTCCAATGACATTTCCAGATGGGCTATAAATATGTGAAGTCTATGTGTGAGAAAACATTTGCTATTGCATTTGTATGGCAGAACTGTTTTGCAAAATATACTGACTTTTTTTTTAATCTGGAGAATCAAATTAATTTAGCTCTCAGAAAAGTTTCTAGAGGTTGAACCTCTATCATCCGGAACTCTGTGGTCAGGCAACATTCATGGTCTGGAAGGACCACAAATGTTGTGGGACTAGAAAGCCCCAGTAGCAGAGGTTGCTGGTGGCTCAGAGCAAATGAGGTGGTGGAGTCAGTGGGGTCAGTGGAGCCCACAGGGCAGCTAAGCCCACAGTGGCAGGCCATAGGGAGCTATACTGGGGCAGCCGGGCTGCCACGAGGTTGGTGTGGCCCACCTGAAACTCCAGCTGGGCTGCCACAGCTCACAGGACTGGGAGGCTGGGGAGAGAAGCCCTGGAGCCTGTGGAAAAGAGCCTAGTGGGGAGGCTGGCTCCCCTCCTCCCAGATCTCATTTGGTCTAGAAAAATCCTTTGTTCGGGACTGGTCAGGGAGGTCCAACCCGTAGTCAGGAAAGATGCAGACACGTCTTTCACACACCCCTGCTCATGAAAGAAAAATTCTTTCACACATCCCTGCTCATGAAACTCAGTCCTGAACTTTCAGCAGACTTGCTGTGTTAATCCTGGGCCTCAACTTGTCATTTATCCCAATAAGGGATCAGGCTGGTAGTAGAGGCAACACATGGTTCCAGGAGGAAAGAACACCTAGTAGGAATTAGAAATTCTGTGTCTATAAAGGATAAAATTACTGTCACTAATAACATAGATTTGGAAAGAGGGCATTCAGGATTCTGGGAGTTGAAATCCAGTGAAAGAAATCATAGTGAAACTATCCTCTCTTTCAGAACACTCACATCTAAGGATAAATACAAATGTTCGCACCACAACTCACCGTTTCACTGGCACTGGGCTCTGTCAGATTGTGAACTCGAGGTGGGATCCACTGTTCATAAGTCATCACCTAAACCATAAGGGAAAAGAGACCCAATAGATATACATTTATGATTTTTCATAACCTAACAACAAGTGTTATTAAACCAACAGTCTGAGAGCTATGCAAGCTCTTCACATTGTACTGCATGTGTAAAACAACTGTATCTGGCACTTCTGCATTTGGGATAAGTCATTAAGGCAATCTGGTATTAAATTGTGTTTATTTCATCAGTGGTCTCAGAACTAAGATTATTTTCCCCTCCTGCCCATCCACATTGGGTGCATCATTGCACATACGAGTAGGTTATTCCACTGACCTACTGATGGATCAGCTGTACATTGCTAGCTGGGATGCTCAGGTCTCAATTTTCTACTCCCCAGATTATTAGGGGTTGGGAATGCTGCGGAGTCCCAGACTATTCTCAATAATGACTCCTCCAGCTGATGTAGGAATAGGAATGGTGGCACTAATAGATTCATAAAACATGCCTCATGCCTCTTCAGTTGGAAGGCTGGTGGATGAGAATAAGAACTAGAGGATGTGAGTTTGAATAGGGTTAAAAATGCAGAAAGAGTGGAAGAATTCTCAGAGGTCTATGAAGTAAGAAAAGAACAGACCACAGACTTTTCTCATGTGTCCATAAACCATTCCTCTGGTCACAATGTCCCCATGATGGGAACATCATAGAGAAAACACTTTTGCAGTCCCTGGTGGGCAAGCCTGACAGTGCTTATAGCTTATCTGTGAACGTAATGAACAGTAGCCCCCTTGTCCTTATGAATATGAATGACACTTTGAAGGCTGAATGCAACCTAAGAATTTACGTGAGAAATGAGGCATGAAACATTTTCAAAAATGTATTAGCCCAAAGACTATTACTTCATATTTTATATCCTTCCCAATATGCTACAGTGGGTTTGAGCCATCAAGTGAGTGATGCCAGAGAAGAACAAACAAGAACAAGGATATGAAAATAAATGCTGAGAGCAAAGCTTCCATGAGACACTCTTTATAGTAAGCTATAATTATTGGAGAGCCATTCATGCTGCTCAACCTCAAATGTTATTTCCCTTGCAAGCTTCTTTTTTCCAGCATTTATTTTTTACAGAGTTTCACATGTAGTCCTAGAATAAAATCAGACATCAGGTTGTAGGCTGAGGAGGGGCTCAAGTTTTTAAAACATTCAGAGAAGTCCATTACATTATTTTTAAAATTGAGAGAAATAATAAAATGTTTGCTTATTCTATTTACCATTCCCACAATGTTGGGCCCTGCCATTTCAGCTTCTGAACAGAATGTGGAAGTGAAAAATAACAAGAACAACATTTCAGAAACTTAAAAAGACAATTACATCAATCTTACCCTGATCCTCATTCTATTTGTGCAGTTCCCTACTACAAATTGGGAGGGGCTAAAGCAGCCCTAGGAAGGCTTCACAGAGCCCAACTAATGCAGAAAGGACTTATAAGGAGACAACCAGGGGGAGGTTGAGAAGCAGCCAATCAGGGCCAAATGGGCCCTATAAGAAGGGACACAGAATAGTTCAGTCTCTCTCTGCAACATGAGGAAGAAGGCCTGGCTGTCTATAAGAACAAAACAGTACTCAGCAGGGTCATGGGTAGCTCCAGCCTTACTGGTAGACAGGGCAGATGGAGGTGCTGGGGCTACAGGGAAGTGGCCCAGTGAGCATAGGAGAAGCAGGGAGTGGCTGCTTGCTAGAGGGTCCCTGGGCTGTGGCTCAGAGCTGCATGTGGGCCTGGACCCCTCTTTTGCCCCATGGGTCGCAGAAGACAGCAGCCAGCCAAAGAATTGCAGTTTGCTCCTGAAATAGGGACTAGACAATGGGCTGCAGTTTACCACAGTCATGAGAGGTTGGGTGAAAGACTGAGTCCCTCCAGAAGGAGGAGAACAGCCTAAAAGCTATACCCTGAAGAGGACACCAAGGTCCAGGAGAAACATAAGTCCAGACCCTAGAAGGAGGAGACAGCCGAGGGATGACAAGCAAGATGTCACCCAAAAAGCAGCACATTCAACTGGACTGAGCCAATTCCTAGAGCAACCAGCAGGAGGCACCATGGCAATGAGTCTACACCCTATTACAGTCACCAACTCTCTCAGATGTGGGGAAGGGGTAATAATCATCCAGTAAATGTTGTTATTTTAAAACAAATCCATAAAGTCTAATATTTTCAAAACCAGCCTCTGAAAAAAAAATCAGATCTTGCAGATCTCAAGCTGGCATAAAAACTTAGAGATGTCTAGTCCCTCCATCTTGCTTTGTGAGATCAAAACAACAATGGAGGCAGCCCAAATTAGAGGCCATTTTTCATATGCTGGTCCAGAATTTTTGTGGTGATTCAAAGCCATCTAAGAGACTCTGAGACTCAAAGCAAAAATAAACCTGGTCTCTTGTTCTGATGTCTGAGAAAATGTCCCTAGGAATTCATCCCAGAAGCAACAAGAGGCAACCTAGTGGCTGTTGCTCTGTGATAGGAGAATAGTAATGTACATCCCCCCCAAACTGATGAGGATGAGAAGAGAGGGAGATTTATGGAGCACACCCCAAATCCCATTACATTGATGAGGAATAGCTTACTAATACTTAGCAGCAAGATAGGGTGGGAGAGACCATGAAGCATAAAAGAAACAGAGAGGGGAGGGAGCCAACTCCTATTCCCAGACCTGCTTTTTGTAGGAGACACTGAAATAAAGATCCACTCCCCCTGCCAACAATACAGCCACAGATGAGGCTCTGAGGGAAAGCAGAAGGAGCCAGTACCAAAGCAGCTATCCAGTCACTGATCTCCCTCTCCTTCGCAGGGACTCCTTGACTTCTAATGACTGTAATGTCATCTCTGATCCTTGGTTGCTGAGCAGAGCACAGTTAAAGGGTGGATCTGACCTGGCCTGTGAACCATCCCAGCTGTCTCCAGTTTGGGAGATTGTACTGTGGACATCCTTTCTTTTTAAGCCTCCAAATTCTTCTGATGAAGTGGGTTTGCCCACGAAAGCTCATGATTCTATATATTTTGGTCAGTCTCTAACATGCCACAGGACCATTCATTTTTATTTTTAAGAGTAGCATTCCAGAACCCATGGCACTGTTCTTTGCAGGGCTGACCCAGTGGAGAAAGCTCACCTCAGAGTCTTTCACAGTGGTCATTATTGGTATGCAGAAGCACGAGAGCACTTAAAAAAGAAAGGTACTGAATATCGGTTTTAAACTTCTCTCATACATTACAGGCTTTGTAATATTTTGGCCCACATCCTCAAGCTTGTGCAAACTGACCTAATTCCATTGAAATCAATGGAACTAAATCAACGTATACCTGATGAGGATTTGGCCCTTTAAGTGAAAATAATGGGAAAGGAAATTCTAGGAACGGGGGGGGGGGGGGGGGGGAACAGTTCTCGGGACTCCTGAGCCATCACTAACTACTCCAGCTCCTCCTGAGCCACTCTGCTCCTCAGCCTGACAGGTCGTTAACTACTTTTATGTTATTATTATGCAGGCCCAAAGGTCAGACTTCCTTAATTGCTCATACTAGTGGGCTAATTAATGTAGTCTTATGAAGAGGAGTGTCAGGAGACACCGTACATGTTTATATAAATTCAGAAAGCATTAAGACACATCCATCTATGTAGAGTATGCAAGATTGTTCTAAGCACTTAGCATAGGTCTTGTCAGATAAAATTCCAGTGCACTAATTTAACAGATATCTAGTCACTCTGAAAAACAAGTCTGTAAAGCATTGAAGTGCATATGCTTTGCATAATGAAAGTGGCATATAACTCAAATCATCATCTGAGTCTTCCTTGAAACTCCACTCCCCTAATACCGATGCACATCAATTTATAAAGTCAAATCCTGGTAAACTCATACTGAATAAATGTAGGAAATATACTAGTTTTGTGAAGACAGCATTAGAAATTGAATACATCACATATTTCTTTTACCTGACATGTAGTTTCTTTTATCTTTTTTCCTTGCAGTAAGTGTATTCTATCACCAATAAGAAAATCTTCTTTGCGCTCTGGAAAAAGATTACACATTTGCTTACATAATTCTGAGAGTCCACAGTGTTACTTGTTTACAGGCAATATACAATTTGAAACTCTCCAAATGTGTTTAATTATTTTTTGACCCTCCAAAGTTAATTTCACATCACTTAACTGAACTCTTATAACGAAGATTTGAAGTAAAACTAAAAAGGAAACTGGCAAAATAGCTCACGTAAATAAAATCCATTTATGTATTGTTGTTTTATTTGTACTTAACACCTCAGTTTACTAATTCAGAATCCCTATTGAGCAGCATCTTGCGCATCCCAATTTTTACAGCTTCGGAGTACGAAATATTTATGCGGAAATTATGGCTCTCAGCAAAAACAATTCCTACAATCCAAGATCTTTCTTCCTTTGAACTATAAGAAGTGTTTTCAAAAGGCCAATCTTTGTATTTTGTTCTTTTCAGGACACCATGACATTGACCTGTGAAAGCTATGAGCTTTCTATAGTGACAGCCAATAGATGAGCAGGTGATTTATGTGAAAAACTACATCTTGAACCCACTTTCCCAGAAGTCAGTGGAAAAGCTCCCACTGAATTTAATGGGGCAGGGGCAGGGACAGAGAGTGCTGATTCCATTTTCATTGACATTAGTGGGATTAAGCTTTAGGAAAAAAACCTTAATTCTGGGCAAGAATGACCTCAAAGTTTGTACAAGTTGGTTAGGAGGATTTTTCTTGTCTTATGATAAGCTCCATTCATTTCAGGATAGACTTTGTCACATTGATTCCTGTTGAGCAGCACCTTACAAAACAAGTACTCTGACTGCAATGGGACAACTCGGAATAAGACCTTCAGGATCTGGCCATGTGCGATTAGAATTCAATCTAATTGCACTTTCCTATGAGCTAATTAAAAGGTAGCTCCTACAAACACTTAAGTTTGTGATTGAATTCAATGGGACCACTTGTGTATCAAGATTATCACATGTGAAAGCGAGGGTATGATCAGAGCCTAAAATATGCTCACATGAGGGGAATATTTTTTTAACTGGGAAGTTCTTAGGGACTGCACTTCTGAAAATCAAGCCACTTAAGCATATACATGTGGATTTTGTGACTCTCATTTTAGGGATACATTTTGTATGGCCCATGATATTCAATTTTACACTTCATTACAGTCAAATATGTGTAACTGATTTTGCCCCTAAACAAAAGCTTTAATGGAAGGCATTACATTTTGCCATGCATATTTTAACTTACCAACAAATAAGAAGATCTAGCCCAAGTTCTAGGTGCTTTTGATAAACAATTAAAAGTTCTGTGCAAACCAGTTACAAATTCAGCATCATCTCTGCACTCACAACCAACCCCAAGATCAAACCTTACATAACCAATACTTTTTGGAGCTACCCACCTCCATATCCTGTAAGGCCTTAGGCAAATAGATGAGTGCAACCTTAACTATTTCACAGATAAAATAGCGTGCCATGATGCAAACCAAAGGAAAGAGTTCCAAAATGAAAGACAACACGCAGACAAATCCTGCCAGCAGCCCTTCCCTGGAAATGGAGGTGGCTCAAGCTAAACATGTATGTTACATGCATGTTAGTGGATGGTTTCTTGCTAGTGCTCTGCAAAAGGGTCTGCTTTGATAGCAATGAATGATACAACAGGCAGGCAGAGTTATAGCGCTTCATGATCAGAGTTTTGTGTTTGTCCAGTAGAAGCTTGACCCTTCCTGAAATCTGACCCACTTTCTTCAAACCCATTCACACTAGCTTGGCAAATTTGTTCTTGTTGGTTTTTTCCTTAAATTTTTCAGCATTCCCTTCAGGCTTTGACTGACATTTTAAAAGTTCACTTTTAGACTAAGCTTCAGGGCAATGGTTACTTTCTCTGTATTGTCACATGTGTTCACACATATATATCAGGCCCATACTTGGGTGTGTGTGTGCAAAGGGTGCAAAAGCACCCCCAACCATGGTGCCCCAACTAAGCATACTCCAGCAGCCAGGGGAAGGCAGGAGCAGAGCACTGACCAAGCCTCCCTCCCCCATGCTCTGGCTGGCTGCGGAAAGGCTGAGGCTGATTTCCCCACTTACTTGGGAGAATATGGGGGGTGCATTCACACCCTTGCAGTCCACATTTACAAGAAAGCACCCTCACCAAAGAAATTCCTGTGTATGGGCCTGTATATAGTCAAGTGCATATCTAGTTTTTCTCCAAGAATCTGTTCCTCATTGGAAAGAGAGGTCCCAAAGCTCATACAAGCAGACAGAATTTTTTCTGTAACTGTTTATTATAAACACCTAGCTAAATATTTGCAGGATCAGGAACTTAAATGGCTTCTAAAATGTTGTAGTTTCTCTTGTGAACACTTTTGCCCATAGAACTCCTGAAGAAAAATGGCAGTGCCAATTCAAGTGCCAATCAACATTTTTGCCAGCTCTGATTAAAGTGTAGTCCTACTTGGAAGTGAAAAGGGCATTCAAGGGTTCCATACTTGCCTCCCAGTCATTTCCTCATGACATTTTCCTTCATTTAGACTATTTTCTTTCTAATCAGCAGGCCTGCAAACGCAAGCTGAGATCTGAAAATCAGCCTGGATTCTCTGTGGCTGAGGTACCACTCCCATCAATAATGATTCCTTAACCCAAGTGACTTTGATGTGGCAACACAGGAATAAAACCAGCAGATGGCTCTGCAATTTGGAACTAAGTAAATCACAACTCTCACCTCCCTCCCGCCCCCAAAAAACCAACCACACTTCAAAAGATGTCTGTGTTTTGTGGAGCCCATACTGGTAAGTAAGGGGGAAATCTTACTTTGTTATTATGAGTAAGCAGAATGATTACATACACAGAGGAAAGAGATCTGCCAAGTGCAAAGATGCTATTTTTACATAGTCACTTTGCAAGCTGAATCATACATTAAACAAAGGACTATTGGGTGTACACAATGAATTGAATTTAGGCTAAAAAAAAACCCTGGAGGTTACCATCTCTTGGCATCAACAACCACAAAAAAGAGTCATCAGAAGCAACAAATGTGACTAGAATCCTCTTTCATGATCATAAAATCTATAATCAAAGCATCACAAGTCTGATCTGTAAACACAGACTAACCTGTGCAGTCCATGGAGCACACAAAATCCAGCAAGCAGCATACGTATACCTCACAGCAATTTGTGTAAATGCTAACTGCAGTGTACCTACGGGGGGCTGACAGACTTACTCGGCTCCTGGGCAAGGGTGGGTGCGGGGGGCAGCTCTGTGCTCCATGAAAGGGTGTGTGGCATCAGGCATAAGGGAGGGTCAGCCCCCCACCCCTCAGTGTTGCCTGGATCACACAGTGCTCCACTGTAGTGGAGGCTGGAGACCCAGGCCCTTTTGAATTGCCGGGACCCTTTGTCCTGCCCCGTCAGCAGGCCTGGCTCTGGCTTAATAGTGTCATAGACTCACTTTGCCATAGTGTAAATGACTGTACACAGAACAGGGCAAAGGTGGATCTGGCCCATTAGTTCGGAGAGATGGTAACTTCTCCCATTTGTCTCAGTCTTTTTTCTCTGATGCTAGTAATGACATTTTAAATGACAAGATTATTAATTGTTACAATGATTATCATTTTAGGAGAAACAGCCAGTGAGCCTAGCCTTGTGAACAGCCTGAGAAGAGTACACCTCTCTGACCTCTCTCTATATGTACAGGTTGCATCAACAGTCTGATAAATCCACTTTTATGGAAACTAAATGAGCAGTCACATGAAGGGCCTGATCCAGAGCATGCTCACAAAATGGGGAGAGGACTGTGTGCTGTCTACCACATATGTAGGGTGGCTAACTTGCAATTAGCACAAAACAGAACACCTTTGCCTCACCCCTCCTCCAAGGCCACGCCCATGCCCCGTCCCTTCATTAGCTTCATCCCTGCTCACTCCATCCCCACCCCTGTTGCTTTCTTTCCCCATCCTCGTTCACTTGCTCATTTTCTGGGGGCAATCGTGCAGGAGGGGGTGAGGGCTCCAAATGGGGCTGCTGAATCACCAGGCAATTTTCCTTTTGCCTCCCTCTCCCTCCTATTGGTGGGCCTGGTTACCAGTGCTGACAAGAGCCATCAGGAACCCTTTTCAATGGGTGTTCTAGTTGAAAATGACACACCTGGTCACCCTAGATGCATGACTTGTAACTTCTAGCACAAGTTCATATTTTGCAGTAGATTTGCAGACCTTGAACAATCATCTCGTTCAGGATGAAAATTTGATTAACAGTGATGCTCTGTAAATATTCTTCCCATGATTTTCACCACTGTGTGAAGGGGACTTCCACTGAAGTAACTGTACTGGAGAGGCATAAAGGGAGACTTTTGTTTGTTTGCCAGCCTTATGTCCTGATCCGTCTGGGCTCCGGCCCTTCCATTGTAATGCCTGTCAACTTCAATAATATGCTTTCTTTTGCATGCTTTGGGAATTTAGTCAGGGTAAAAAATACATATTTAGCACATCAGACACTGAAGAAGATCAGAAAAACTCTACCTTTCCATTCAACACTACATTTCTAACTACCTTATTTTTCTCAGATGGTCAACACCTTCTGAAATATTACAAAAATATTGAAACTTTTTTGGTTTGTTTAAAAACCAGCTCCTG